CCAGCGGGGTGAGCACTGGCACAGGGGCTGAGGTTTGTCCCCAAGATGTGTCAGTTGGAAAAGTCTGTCCTGATTCATCCCAGCTGTGGATTTTCCCCTCCTGCTGCCGGCTCCCAGCCTGTTTGGAAGCTCCACATCTGTGGGCCGCGCTGTTTACCGCTTGGTTGCTGTCTGAAAGCAGCTGCTTTGATGCACAAAAGCTGCTGCAGGGATCTGGAGGGGTTTTGTGGCTCTGGAACAGTCGTGCAGGGCAGTGACCCTTGAGAGGGTCCTTCATATTCAGAAGAAAAAAAAACAACAGCAAAAATACAAGCCTGGGAATAACCAACCCCACTGTGGTGCCCCACTCCACAGCAGTCCAGCAAAGAGCAGTCCAGCATTAACTCTGGGTGATCTGACATGGGCTCGCTGTCCCACCCTTATCACAACCACCACCTCTGCTCCCCTAAAGCAGTTCTGGAAGCATGAGGTGGGCAACATGTCCTCCTGTAATGGCACCTCCTCCGCCACCTTTCACCAAATAGCTCAAAAAACCCCAAAAAAGTCCACGAGGACCCCGGACCCACCTCCTCCAGTGTGGCTCAGGCCCACTCCCCCATCCACCCCCAGCTCAGAAAGGGTTTCAAAGGCTGAAACCCACACCAGCCACCTCGGGGATGAACTGAATGTTTCAACACAGTGAACAGAAATGAGGGTTTTTGGGGGTTTGTTTTTTTTTTTCCACGTTGGAGTATTTATATCTGGCTTTTGCAGCAGGCCAGGACTTGCCATCTCCAGCAAAAATGATTATTAAAGTGATGAGCAAGATGTAGTTCATGAAGTTATTTGCACTTGATTAAAAGAAAAATGTATTTGAACTTTGTAAAAAGAAATGTTTGCATTTTGTATTGTCTTTTTTTAATTATTAAATGGAATTTCTTGGTGTCATGTTGATCTTTCAAAAAAACTGGCTCGGATGCTTATTTGAAAGGTTTCTAACAGCAGGATCCAGAGCTATTTTCATTGTTTGGTTTCCTCAGATGCTGACAAGCTTTTCCAGGGCCCAGGGTATTTTTTTTCCCTGTTCAGACTTCCCTAAGCTCACTAGTCCCAGCACAATGTATTTATTTATGCACACTAATTAGATGCAACACATCTGATTTTTAGCCCAGAATAAGGAGTTGGACATAGGCTGGCTCAGAGGGAAGAGGATGGAACACACTCTGTACCCTTGGCCCCAACCCCCTTGCTGGGCTGCAGCTCCATCCCCTGGCATCCCTGGGCAGCTGGAGGATGCCCATCAAGTCCTCACACGCTGCACCTTGGGCAGAATCCCCCCACCCGAGGCTGGAGCACCAAAAGCCTTCAAAAGCTGGTGCCCCCCTCAGATTAAGGCTGTGGGCTCTGCAGCAGGATGGCTGCAGGTGAGCACTGCACGTGGGCACAGGGGGATCTGGGGGCCATAGTTTAACTGCTGAAACTCCACCTGCCCCGGGACACCTCTGCTCTGATCAGTCTGGGGCAAGTGAAGCCGTTCCCCCTCCCTGCTCTGAACACAGAGGCCCCTTCCCTCAAAAGCTCCATATACCGCTTGGAATTCACATCCCTATCAACTCAACGCAGCATCTAAGACCTGGCTCACCACAGCTCATTGGCAAACCCACCCCAAGGAGCTCTGGAGTAACAGAACCACACATGGCCATGGGTGCCCACAGAGTTTATTGCTGCCCCCTCAGTAGAGGCGCTGGGGCTTCCCCATGGTGCTCTTGATGTACAGAGCTCGCACGTTCTGCCAGTTCTTCTTCAGCAGGGACACCAGGAAGTTGATGGCCAGGTGGATGTTGTAGACAAGTTCATCCTCTGTCATCTTCACGTGACCGACAGCCACAGCCAGACAGAGCACCTGGGGACATACACCAGAACAGGTTTCACGGGCAGAGCAAAGGTGCCGACCTGAACTCATTTATGTGCTGGACTGTCCCATGGTCTGTCAGCTGGACACAGCTTCCCCAGCCCACCCATGGGGTTTTCCAGTGCCTGCTGCACCTGGCCTGTGGCTCCCTGTGCCTGTAGCCCCTGGATGCCACCTCTAACACACACAGAGCTGACCGGGAGAAGGTGGGAACATCACTGCCTCCCAGAGACAGCAATACTGGGAAGGACACGCGACACGCTGTGCAGAGCCAGCACCGGAGCAGAAGTGTTAACTGCACTGGATTGTCCTCAGCACTGAAATATCGAATCATCTCATGATCACTTGCTTCCAGATCTGTCAATGCCAGAAAAATTATTCCTCCTTTCTGACTGGCAGCAGAGGTCTCCCTTTGCTGGAGGAAACACTCGAGGGCCACCTACAGTCCACCCCAGATATAGCAGAGACACAGAACTGCCTTGGAGAGGAAAAGCCCTGCTTTACCTTCTTCATCTGGAATTTAATGGTCGATTTGACTTCATCAACCTTAGCCACCAGGTTCTCATTGTGGGTGAGCAGAGAAGGGAATTTCCCGGCTTTGTTCAGGCCTGGGCCCAGGATTCGAGGAATCTGCTTGATCAAGGACTCGGAAGCCAGGAAGGCATCGTACTTCTTAGCTGCAAGGAGAGAACCGGGGAGGTGAGGACAGACTCTGCTCCCACACTGAGCTCCCAGTGAGCGGCTCAGCCAAGCCTGCACAGCTCCACTTCCCCCAACAGACATTCCCACAGTCCCACCTGGACAGGGGCTGGTTTTACCAACAATCTATCAGGAATGACTGTCACAGCAGCCAGACCCCAGCCCCACTCCTGACACAGACTCCGAACAGCACACAGCTCATTCCCTGAAGGAACTGTCCTTTGCTGAGCCCCAGGTGACACTGAACTCTGAGCTCTGCCAGGAGCCTCCTGCCACAGCCTGTGCACACCAGGATGGATGACCCATCTACGAGAGGCTTAGCCAACAGCCATAGTATCCCCTGTCACTTCCTAACTGCACATGGTTCCGTGGCTGATCATGGATTGAGTGTCAAGTTCTTGTCTGCCTCAGGAACGTACCAAAGTGATTCTAGAGTTCTCAGGGAAGGAAGGATTTTCTCTCCGAGAGAAAAGAGACAAATTTTATTCTGTTCATGTAAGAACTGCAGGACTAAATCCCACTCTTGCCTCCAGCATTTCTCTGCTTTTGCTGCACTCCAGGTCCTTGACCAGAAAATCGAGGAACACAGCAAAGAGTGAAACTCTGTGACAGGCATGCTTTCCTATGTCCCTTCCCTCCTTCTGCAGGACAACCAGCCTCGCTCCTGCCACACTGACCTGTCAGACCTGCACTGCCAACAGCTTGGGGGCTTTTCTGGGCAGATTTTGGTACTCTGCTCAGCTTTCTATCCCTGGAGCTAACCACGACATGGAAATCTGAGATGACAGAAAACCTCCTGCTTACCCAGACCCCTCCCAGTTTGGCTAAGGTACCCAGAGCCTGACCCACACTCACCCAACTTCTTCACCAGCTTCTTGTTCTTGTTGAGCTTCTTCAGAGCTTCTATATCCATGTGCGGGATGTCAACCGCTTTGGCCTCATCACAGTGCTGCTGGTCCCCCAACAGACAGACCGAGAACTTGGGCCGTGGCGTCGACTTCAGCCTGGGGATGGAAGGTCCGAGTCAGTGCCTTACCAGCACCGCTGCCGTGTCCCTGGAGCCAGCACGGAGACACCTTACCACAGCACGGGGCGTCCTGCACCGCCGCTCACCTGCCATCACAGCAGGCCGGTGGGGACAGCCCGGGGGGCTCCCACACCTCCCCTCATGTTTTAAGACCCAGGGTGAGGGTCCGTCCAGCCGCTCCCGCTGGGCCGGGGCGCTCTGGACTCCCCAAGCGGTTCGGCCCCGCGGCGGCCCCGGGCAGGGCCGGGCAGCGCCGAAGGCTGGGTGGGAGCGAGAGGATGGCGAACCTGACGGTGCCGGAGAACCGCTTGTCCTTCTGGGGGTCGTAGTTCTTGAGGCTGATCTGCAGCTCCACGGTCTCCACGAACCTGCGAGAGGCAGCGGGTGAGGCCCGGCCGGGCGGGGGGAGGCCGAGGCCGGGCGCTACACGCCCGGTCCCGCCGCATCTGGGGCTCTTACTTGCGCTTTTTGGCGCGGCTGCCGTGCAGCACCTCCTTCACCGCTTCGTACAGGGTGTCCCGGGACACTTTGCTGCTGCGGGGGGAAACGGCAGCGCGGGCTCAGGGCAGGCCCCGCCCGAGGCGCGGCCCCGAACCCGCCCCGGCCCCCGCGCTCTCCCTCCGCCATCGACCCCACTACATCGACCCCCCGGGCAGCCCCGCGGACGGGGCGGACGGGGTGGATGGCGGCGGATGGCGGCGGATGGCGGCGGATGCGGCGCCAGGACCAACCCACCTCATGGCGGCGGCTGCTCGGACCAAAGGGGCAGAACAGCTCCCGGAGCGGTATAAATTAGGAGCGAGATCTCGCGAGATTTGGCCACGCGGCGCCATGGAGGGAGCGGCGGCGGCAGCGCAGAGCCACCATGTTGGGAGCGGTGGAGAGCACCGCCCTGCCCTGCCCGCATCTCCTTCCCTGTTAAACGAACAACCAAGGTCTCTTTGCCTCCTGTCGCGGACCACCAGGACAGGAGCTCGTCCATCGCTTCACAGCGCATCCTAGGAGCCTCTGGCTCCCCTGAGCAACTGGCGGGAAGAAGACGGGGTGCGTCCGCTGCGTGAGGAGCGAGCTGGACAGGCTCCCCGCGGGCGGCAGTGCTGTAGAACACCGGCATTAAGCAGGCCCCGCTGGAGGCCCGCGCAGCCCCCGGCCGGGAAGGGCAAGGGAAAGCGGTGCCTCGCGGCTTCAGTGTTAACATCGCGCGTGCCCGCATTGGCCGCCTCACGGCGCGCGCGCTCCCCGAGCCGGCCCGGCCCGCCCCGGAACCTGCATTGCGGACGCGGGCGGCAGCGCGTTGCTGTGCGGGTTGCGGGGCCCGCCGCGGTGCATGTCGGTCCGGCGGCGGACCCGGGCCCGGCGGGTCGCTCAGGTCGGTGCGGGGGGCGATGGCGGCCGGGCCTCGGGGCTGCCCCAGCCCCCGGCACCTCGCGGGGAGAGCCCCTCCTGTCCCCCGCCACCCCCGGGTCCGCCGGCTGCTCCGCTCGGGCCCTGCCCTTCCCCGGTGCCGTCGCACCGCAGCCCGTACCGGGGGCTCAGCAGTGCAGGGCCGCCGCAGCCCGGGGGGAACGAACCCCGGCAGGACCCGCTGCAGCCGCAGAGGGGTGAGGGTGCGGGGTGAGGCGTACTGAGGGGGCTCAAAGCCGAGCTCACCCCGGGCTGCGGCGGGGACGGACAGGGCGGTCCGACTTGTTCCTGCAAATCAGACGATTATTTTGCTATCTCAGAGATGGCTCAGGAAGAACCCACTGTAGCTGCTTTGAAAGATAATCTGTCAGCAGAGAGCCTCTTTAGCAAAATGTTCTTGCGGGGGCGTGGTGGTTTTAATATAATGTGCTTAGAGCCTGAAATTCTGTTTCTCAAAAGGCTGGGAATTAGTCAGGAAAGGAAGGAGAGGTGGATGCTTCCAGGGATGAAGCTCATCATCCTGCCCCTGTCTCTTGCAGTACAGGACATGCTCAGCCTGAAGGTTCAGGCCTTATAGTACTTGGAAACCCTCCCTGCAGATCATTTGGAAGACAGGAAGGGCTTGAATGTGGCATTTGCACTGTCTCAAAGAAGAGTCTGTCAGTTCACTAGTGTGATTTTATATTTGTCTGTGGAACAGATTGTTAGCCCTGCCTGCCATTGGTGGGGGAAGGATGCAGTGTTGTCCATCTTAATCCTTTATAACCTCAAAACTAGTTTGAGGCCATTCAAGCCTTTCCTGGTGTGCAAAAGTGAGTATACATCTGAGGAGAGAAAATAAAATGGAATTGTTCTTTTTACTTTAGGCTTGCAGCAAAAAGGACTGCTCAGTGTCCCCCAGGCCCCTGGCTCTGGGCCCGGTGCTCCCGGCGGGATGGAGAGCCTGGGGCTGCCAGCAGTGACCCTCAGGGACGGCACCATGGCCTACCTGCAGCAGGCTGCCAGAGGTAACGGAGCCTCGGGCTGCCAGGGCTCAAAGTCTTTTTCTGGGGCTCAAATGAAAGACTTGCCAAAAGTGCCCTCAGAGCGCATGAGCTGCCACACGTGTGTGGCCGCGTCACACGAGCAGCACAGGTGATTCTCTGTTGGATTTGAACAGAAGTCTCATATAAAAACAATTCAGATGTGCCTCTGGTGTGGAAATGAAGCTGTGGAGATGAGAGAGCTGTTGCTGTAGACAATAAAGGTGCTGTTCAGACCAGATGAGCCTTGTTCTCTCTGGGATCACTGGGGGAAGCAGAGCTGATGCTGTGGCTTGGAGGGCTCTTTTCCACCAAAACTTGCCTTGGGCTGAGCAGGAGGTTTTCCTTCACTGGTGTGCACAGGGATTGGTTCACAACAGTGCATTTCTCACTCAGAGAGGTGCCAATTTCAACACTTTTCCTTACTTTGATGCGTGTGAGGTGCCCCTTCCTCCACTACCCACTGCTCCCAGAACAGGAGCATGCTGTTTCCCAGCCTGCAGAACAGGATGGATGAGCTGTGCAGCTCCATGTCCTGGGGGTTGCTCTCTTGCTTTCTTTTCTGTGAAAACTCACTGGAAGTTTATTTATATTCCACATGTGTAGAGTTGGACTGTCTTGGAACCACTGGGTTGTGTGACCCCCCCCAAACTCTGTGCTCCGGGTGAAACCAACCTGGATTTTACCTATTCAAGTGGGATGGAGCAATGTCCTCTCTGCATCAAATCTTTGGGTAACTCAGTCATTATTACAGGATTGCACAGAGTTAGGCTTTGTAAGATTTCAGTCTTCAGAACCCAACCCTGGCAGCATGTTAGGCCCCTTTAGGTACTGTAATTTTTTTCCAAGAGTTGATCCTCTGCCAAAGTAGAAAAAAAGAAATCTCCAGGCACTTGCTGATGCCACTCAGAACTCCCAGTTGATTTTTTTCTCCAGCACAAGTGTAATTGCTTTCTACTAGATTCCAAATGCTCAACACACAATGTTCTTTCTGCTCCTTGGCACAAACTGCTGGGAGGGGCAGCTTGTCAACAAGTGATGCCTAAGGGTCTTTGTTGTGTGTCCTCCTCTCTAGGAAAGGGCAGCTCTGGCATTTCTGGGAAGTGAGGTGCCAGCAATCCGAGGGAAAGCTGGTCCCTAACAGCCTACAAGTGACAGTTTCTCCCTTCTGTGGGACTGGTTTCCTTGGGAAGCACATGGGGCAGAGGGACTGGGCTCGGCAGTGCTGATGGGATGTTATAACTGTTTCAGGTGAAAAGCTGATTGAAGGACAAGTCATTGAACTTGAAGATGGGACCACAGCTTATATCCATCAGGTGACAGTTCAGAAAGGTGAGAACAATACATTCCCCTCTTTCTCTTTGGAAGGACACTGTAGATGTGGCTGCAGCTGTCAGTGCTCCAGCGCTTGGGCTCCTGTCAGCTCCAGCTCTCGCAAGTCCAGGGTTTGTGTAGGGCTTTTTTTGCTCATGGTTTTGAGGCTGAATAAACAAGGGCATAGAATATGTGATTTCCTGCAAAGTTTTCAGCAATCTGTCAAGAAGATCAGTTTGGTGGAGGTGTCTTTTCACCTGTGGGCTCTCTCTCCCCATTGTCAGTCTGACAGACCGCAAGCCCAGTGAGCTGTGTGCTGCTCCCACACAGACTTTGTTTCATGTGGGAGCAGTTGGACGGGAATTTCCTCTGAACTATGAGATAATATATTACTTTTGGAATAGGTGTTGGTGAAGGGCAGGTGGGGATTGTTGGAAGCAACGCCACCTTGGTCATTGACCCATCGGCCAATGTCACCTCCAAACTGATATGACATTAATCTGAGAGGTGACGGGAATTCATTTCATGTGGCAGGCAGCAGAGTGGCCCAGCCCCAGGCCCCTCCCTGACCACGCTAAGATGCAAAAGGGCAGGTAGAAAGAGCTCGGTTGCTTTGGGCAGTCCTTCTTTACCCTCCCAAGCCTCTTGTATGCCATCTCCCTCTTCTAATCTCAAAAGGTTGCTTGAAACCCACTTTTTATGCCTTTCCCCCCTTCATCCTCTTCACTGCCTCCACACGCAAAGTGAGAAGGGTTTTCCTTCTCATCCCTCCTTCCTCTGCCATGGGATATTTATGTTACCTTTCACACATCCCTGTGCCAGAACCATCCTCCTTGTCTGGGATATAATCTGGCATTTTGAAACTGGGAAGGCACTGCATTAATGCTTTGAGCTAAGAAAGTGGCGAATCTGTGCATGAAGCCTTGAAAAATCTCATAATTCACATCAGAAGGGTTCAAATGGTGTCTTAAAACCTACAGTTGTGGTTGCCTATCAGGGCAAGCAGAAGCCCTGTGTCCTCTCCCGGGAGCCTTAATGCTGTAGGGTTCAGGAACTGCCACAGTATTCCCTCCATCCTGAGTCCTCCAGGAAAGTGTGTGGATGTTTCACTTCTCTTTTAGAGTCTGTGGCTTTGGAAGACGGTCAGCCAGTGGTGCTGGAAGATGGCAGCATGGCCTACATACACAGCACAGCTAAAGGTAAAGTGCTCCCTGCTCTTCACTTGGCAGCTGGAGCAGAAGCTACTATAGTGTCCTAAATTTCCAGGGCTATGGGTGGCTGGGGAGGTGGAGCACTCTTCTGCCTCGCACTCAGCAGCTCTTTGCATTTGATGTAATTGGTTTCCTCTTCCAGACGGTTACGATCCTGGCACCTTCCAGGCCATCCAGGTGGAGACCTGCACTGCCTACGTCCACCGTCCTGTCATTGTAGCACCTGGCAGCACCATCCTGGAAGTGCAGACAGGAACTGGGCTCGAGGAGTTAGCTGGGGAGGAGGAAGATGATGCCTTTGGTGTGGAGACCACGAATGCATTACAGCAGTACAGCAGTAAGGTGAGGGCACAGCACTGCTCCCGTGGTTTGCCAGCAGCACCACGGGCTGGGGGCCACGCTTGGCCCTCCCTTCAGCAGTACTTGTGTATGTCTGTCTTTCAGCAGTGCCAGCTTTGAAAGAAGCAGCTGGACAGGGCTCCAGGGCAAGTGCCACCACTGATGGGTGGCTGGCAGTTAGGGGCCCAGAACGGGGCCATTTGGTCCCATGGAGTGCTGGGCCTGCCACCCTTAACGTGCTGCAGGCTTGGATTTGGGAAGAGAGGAGAGCTGCTGTGATACAGCCTTTGGCATGTCAGCAGTGGCTAAACTATGGCCACTGTCCCCATGGTGACAAAGACCTCAAAAAAACAAAACAGCTTTCGATCCTGATGCGTTGTCACTGCAGTGTCCCACCTGAACATCCTGGGTGCTGCCGTTTTCTCCCGTCTGCATAGCGTTGTGGAGATGGGGCTACCAGCAGAGTGCTGGCAATGCTCAGCTGGGCACAGACCTTCTTGCCATGGCAGGCCCAGTCCCAGCTCTCTGCAGAAGGGCAGGGTGGCACTGGCTGTCGTTGTCTTCCTGCTTGGGTTGCTCTCGTGCTCCACACTGTACAGGGAGGCACAAAGAGTGCCTGTGCTTCTTCACCCACAGGGGTCTGACAAGGAAGAGGAGGGAGTGACAGACACCTGCCGTATGAACCCTACGGACTCCAGCAACGTCCCTTCTCAGGTCTGAATTTTTCAGTGACTGGAACTAGGCCAAATTCCTCTTTGCCAGCGAATAATTAAAAAAGCGTTGGTGGCTTCTCTGCCGAGTTAGCAAATAGTAAGTGCACACTTCACAAATGAGCCGAGCAAAGCCCAGAGAGGGAGTTGGGTGTCTGAGAACCCCCAGTGAGCTGGGAGGTGGGAGTGGGAAATGCAGGTTTGTGGAGCTCTGTCACCTGGGCTGCACCGTGCGGGTACAAGCTTGTTTGTAGGAACATGTTTTTGGAGGATAACTGCAGGAGTGCATATGTATGGCAAGGAGGGAAATATTTGTGTGGGCTTGGTGAAGCCTGCTGTGGTGGCTTGCTGGATTAGTTCCTGTACTTGTCTTGGCAGGATTTGCAGGAGGAGGAGGTGCACAGCCATGGGAAGGGGCAGCAGGTCAGCAGCAGAGCTTTCCCCTGTGGGTACAAAGGCTGTGGCCGCCTCTACACCACTGCCCACCACCGCAAGGTAAAGCAGGTGACATGGTAGTGTGCAGGCCAGACCTATCCCAGGTTACAGTGCCAGGGTTCTGCATTCTGTACAGCTGTTTTCCTTCCTCCTTGCCTTGGTCCTCATTTTAATGACCCATTCTTCCTTTTCCAGGTACATGAACGTGCTCACACAGGTGACCGGCCATATACATGTGACTTCCCAGGTTGTGGGAAAGCATTTGCTACAGGTAACAGCTTCTCTTTTGAGAAGATTTTGCTTTCTGTCCAACCCAAAATGCTGTTGAGCCTCAGCCCTGGTTCTGCTCCAGCAGAGCACAATGTCCAGAGCATCTAAAGCCTTCTGTGAGGGAACTACAGCATGGGAGCCTGCAGGACTTGATTGATTGTAGTCAGATAATGGTGGAAGTAGGGTTGAAAGTAGCGCTGGGAGCTGTTTGGATATTTTTTCCCCCTTAGCTTTGCAGACACAGGACAGACACTCAAGTACATGAACTGGGGGGTGGTACACAGCTTATCATGGCGTCTCCTTTTTGTTACAGAATTAATTGTGGTTTCTGTCCTGAACAGGGTATGGGCTGAAGAGCCACATGAGAACACACACTGGTGAGAAACCATACAAGTGTCCAGAAGATATGTGTAGCAAAGCCTTCAGAACCTCTGGGGATCTACAGAAACACATCCGCACACACACAGGTGAGCAGCACAGGGGGAGAACTGCACTGCCAGTGAAAGGGTCTCCAGGGCATTCCAGGTAGCTGCATGGTAGCAGGGCTCATCCACATCACTCTGTCAATGCAGGTGAGCGTCCCTTCAAGTGCCCCTTCGTGGGCTGTGGCCGCTCCTTTACCACCTCCAACATCCGCAAGGTTCACGTCCGGACGCACACGGGCGAGCGGCCGTACACGTGTCCAGAGCCCGGCTGCGGGAGGGGCTTCACCAGTGCCACCAACTACAAGAACCACATAAGAATCCACACAGGTAGGAGGTGGCCAGCTCCTCCCAGCCAGCAGCAGGGAGGTCTGTGGGGCTGAGATGGGCATTTCCAGGCTTGGCATTGCAGGAGTAGATCTGGGGGTGGCCAGGGAGTTAAAAGCAAATAGTGGGAATTGCTTTGCTGGGTTGATTATTGTTCCACTGGTCCACCTCCAGCTATTTGCTCTGGTGGGGAATCCCTCCCTGGAGCATGAGGAGAGCGAGTGGGTGAAGCTGTGCTCTGTGGCCTCTGCCCTAGGAGAGAAGCCATACCTGTGCACTGTGCCAGGCTGTGGGAAGCGCTTCACGGAGTACTCCAGCCTCTACAAGCACCACGTGGTGCACACGCACTGCAAGCCCTACACCTGCAGCAGCTGTGGGAAGACGTACCGCCAGACCTCCACGCTGGCCATGCACAAGCGCAGCAGCCACGGCAAGCTGGAGACCATGGAGGACAGTGAGCGGGCCCTCTTTGAGCAGCTGAGGCTGGAAGGTGAGCCCCCACTCCCCCATCACCTGCAGCAGGCTCAGGTCAGGTACAGCAAAGGGGGAAGAGGTGACAGCAAGAGCCTGCAGCTGCTCCCCTCTCAGACCAAGGTCTGTGCCATGGCCTCCTGCCTCTCTATCAAATCCAGGTCTATGTTTGATGGTCCTTGCTGTAAGTCACAGGTTGGGAGCAGGCCCCTGCCCATTCTATAGTACAGGGAGAGGTAAAGGCCCTTCTTACCAGGCCATCACTGGGCTGGTGTCATCGTGATCTCGTGCTCTTCTGTGCTGGCCCTTGAGGCCACAGGCAGGTCCTGGGGCCCAGCATGTGCTTTCATGTTCTGATAATGCTGCTCTTCCCCTTCCCTGACCCAGTTGCTGCTGCTGACAGAGGCTGCCCGCTGAAGAGCCACTATATTGCTTTCCTGTCGGAGATGGAGGAAGATGAAGAAGATGATGTTGAGCCTACACAGGTCTCACTTATCTCTCAGGATGGGACAGAGCAGGTACAGACACTGACAGCCTCCAGCACATCAGGGACAGCAGTTATTATGTGAAGTGAGATTCTGCCTCTACCCAGCTGCAGTGTTCTCTTCAGGGCCTTTTTTCAGCATAAAACAGACCCTGGGGTTCCATGGGCTCTGCCTGCTCTGAGGGATCCCTCCTACAGCCTCACCCACTGCTGCAGTCTTGGTTTGAGGGTGTCTCTGATCTAGCAGGGAGGGTGCCTCTCCCTGCTGATGGGGTCTCCAGGTGTTTGCCCAGGCTTGTGTGCAGTGCCTGTCAGTCCTCAGCTCCCAGCAGCTCCCAACATCTGCTGACATAGGCTGGATTTGGAGATGTTTTGTCATCATTTGTATGCAGCAGTGCTTTTCTTGTACTTCCCTCCACCAGCTGCCCATGTGCTGAGTGGAAAAAACTCCCTTTTGTGGTACAGGGCAAAGGAAGCAGCTGTCAAAAGTGACTTGTTTCCTCTTAGCCTGAGATGCTTCTGCTGCCACAATGCACAAGCTGTCCTGTACAGCCTGGAAAGAAGAGGCTGAGTGGGGAGGGGAGCTGTGGTACAAGCAGGGAGGGCTGGAGACCCAAGCTCCGAGTTCTCTGTCATCAGTTCTGTCCATGACCCTGGGCAAAGTCCTTGGAGTTCTCTGTGCCCTGGGTCTTGGGGGGGAGACTGTTTCATCCTTGCCCAGACCTTTGCATTGCTAAACTAGGGAGTTGTCTAAGACTCCCTGAGCATCCGCTGTCATCCCCCAGGTCAGTCTGTCGCAGGAAGAGCTGCGGGCCCTGGGCAGTGCCATCAGTGTGGTGACACAGAGTGGGGCCCTTGCCGTGCCCAAGGGAGAGCTGGCAGGTGACACTCGCACCGTGACTGTGGCCAACACCGATGGCACCGAGACGCAGGGGGTACAGGCAAAACTGGGACCTTCCCTGTTCTCTGCTAGAAAGGAGCTGCATTTTCTTTTAAAACATGACTGTTTTTTATCTGATTTTCCTAGGTGACCGTAGTTGCTTCTGGGGCAGTCGTGTCAGAGGAATCCGCCGTTGCCCCTCTCCATCATCAGCAGGTGGCATTGCTGGCCACTGCCCACGGCACCCAAATCACTGTGCAGGTACCACACGTGGTGCAGGCTCCTGCCATGCACCCCTTTGCTCCCCAGCCACCTACTGCCCGCAGCACTTGCCCTCTTGCCCTGCTGCATTGCTGCTTGCCCAGAGGGCTTGCTTCTTAATTCCCAGGTGCCCTGCATACAGAGGACAGCACAGGGACGTGCTCCTGGGATTGCAGAATGCTCTTGTGTAAGCAGCCTTTCTGCATCACGGCCACGTCTGCCCCTCTGCTTCACACCTCTGTCACCGCCCCCTTGGCCCCCTGTCCTTCTGGGGGCTGCCCTGAGATGCCTTTCAGGGGTTCAGCACTCACTGTCTCTCTCCCTTGCCTCCCCCAGCTGGAAGAGCAGCAGAGCCTGGAGGAAGGCGTCAGCATGGCTGCAGCAGTAATCCCCTGTGGACCGGTGACGTCTGACACAGCCGTATCTGAGAAAGGGAGCTGAGGTCGGCAGAGCTGCTGGGGCAGGGGGAGAGGAGCCCTGGCCTGTCATGGGCGGGGGCAGTGGGTGCTGCAGGGGGACAGGGGGCAGGGACATGTCTGAGCCAGCACCTGCCCCGCACGGGCCGGGAGGGCTGACAGGGCAGTGTGAGGCTGCTGAAGCGACCCCGTGCAAAGGGCTCTTCTCTCCAAGGAGGGAGGGCAAAGATACTGGACTGCTGCCTTCTCCTGGAGGCTCTGCTGGAGCCTCTCCTGGACTCTGAGCAGCAGCCCTGTTTTCAGAGAGGCACTTCCTGCCCTCTACCTCTAGGAATAGTCCAACAGCTCCCCTTTCCTGTCCACCCCTCCAGCTCAGGGACAAGTGGGCAGCATGTGTATGGAAGCAACAAAGGCCCATCAAAGCAAGCCCAGGCTGTCCTGGGCTTGGTTTCAAGGGTGACCAGTACCTGCCGTTGGAGCCAGCACTCTGACAGCAGTTCTCCCATCTCTTTGGCACATTCCACTCTCAAGCAAGCTTCGGTGGCTGACTCCTTGGCTGCAGAGCAGAGCAGCCTGCACTTCTCGAGGGCTGAGCTAGACCTGAATGTAAATGTTGAGTTGAAATAAAAATAAATTAACAATGTTGTTTTTAAAAGCAGCCCCCTTCTCTCTGGTGGAGGCTGGGAGGAGGTGATCCATGTTACTGTTTTGCAGCTGTAGGGATTAAAGAAATTGAGGAGATTTGTGGAATTGACCAAATGTGTCCTGCCAAAGCAGCGACTGTCCCAGAGGAGGGCAGGGAGCAGGGTGAGCTGTACCCTCTGAGCCCCCACCATGTGGCTTGGGGGGGCTAAGAAGTGTCTCTAAAATCTCAGATCAGGTTTTGGCTCTTCCAGGGACCCCTGCAAGCCCAGATTTACGGAACTGTGTCAGTGAACACATCTTACAGGCCCCTGAGCTGAGGAGAGAGACTTGGGCAGGTGCCCTCAGCCCTTCCACTGCCCCAGGCACTGGGCAGACAGAGCCAGCACGGGAAGCACCATAGAATCATTTTGGCTGGAAAAGACCTTTGAGATCGTTGAGTCCAGCTGTAAACCTGAGCCCAGTGCAGGATCCCGGCAGTCAGGTGGATTATTTTCTGGACGTCCCCGAGGAGTTCGCAGAGGAAGAGGTTTCTGCGGGCACGGAACGGGCACAGCCCGGGAGGGTGCAGCACGCTGGGTCTCCCCACACCTGCCCTGATGCGATTGATCGCAAAACAAGGAGAGCTGGAGCCGTTCCAAAGCGCAGCCCGTGCTCCCGCTGCGAGGGGAAGCTCTGCGCCTCAGTCCCGGGAGGGGAAGCTGCTGCTTGAGCCAGGGAGGAGATTTCTCTCCCCAGAGCGCAAATGCCGAGGAAGCGTTTGATGTGTGGGCCGAGCCGAGCGCAGGGTCCGTGAGCCCCGGGGCGCGGGGAGCGGAGCGGCAGCGATGGGGCGCGGGGGGTTCCCGGGGAGCCCCGGGCGGGCGAGCTCCCGCCCCGCGTCCCGCCCGCCCGGGCGGCGTCCAGGAACCGGATCCGCGGGCTCGGCAGAGCCGCCGCCGCAGCCATGGACCTGCGAGCGGAGCTGCTCAAGTCCATCTGGTACGCCTTCACCGCCCTGGACGTGGAGAAGAGCGGCAAGGTCTCCAAATCCCAGCTCAAAGTGAGTTCCCGGGGGGCTCGGGCGGCCCCCGCGAGCGGCTGGAGGGTGGGCGGCGAGGGGCAGAGCAGGTCCAGGGCTCTTTGCATCCCCCCACCTTTCCACGGAGGAATTGTTAAATAGTGAGATCGGTAAGACCTTGCTGTTGCCTCCGTATTGATTCTGGCGAAGTTCTCAAGCTCTGCATCATCTCCCTTTAAAAAAAAAAAAAAAAAGAGGGAGAGGTGGGAGTTCATGCTCAAGTATGTTTTCTAGGTGAAAATGAGGAGAAATCTAGCTTTTAGTTCTTTACATTTTCTTACGGTTTTTATGGCCAACTAACAGCCCAAACTCAGTTTATATTTTCTTGCTTGCCAGAGTACCTGCATTTCTGCTTTCTGCTGAGCCAGTGGGTCGGGAGGTAGGGGCAGCTTGTTTTTAAACTAAAACTCTACAGTGGTGTGGCCAGAAATAACAAGGCCTTTTTAAAAACTCTCTGCTTTCCCCTCTCCCCCTGCTTAGCAGCTTTCAGAGGGCTCCGGCCCTTAGCCCTTCATCAAACCCATCACAGCTTTAAAAATCTTTTTGCCTGCCCCCAGGCCGTGGTTGGTCGAACCTGCCAGGGAGCCCTTGGCTTCGACAGTAATTATTGATTTTTTTTTTTACTTTGCACGTGGTGGGCCTCATTTTTGTTGCCATGTGAGCGTTCTCTTGGTTCTTAGGCTGGCACCAGGGTTGGAAATGCTGGTCAGCATCAGGGGCTGAGATGAGAGGAGAGACCTGAGCAGAAGAATGCCAGGCAGAGGGAGGTGTTGCGTCAGGACTTGGCAGCTGCTGCCAGTTTGCGAGACCAGTTGTGAAGTGCTGCAAAGAAAGCCCTTTTCCACTATTTCCTCTATTTTATAGGGTTTCCCCGGAGACAGACTGCAGGGAAGGTGCTGCACTTGGTGGGGAGGCATGTTTTGCCCCAAAATTAAGAGTTTGTTTGCAGGAATCTGGAGGGAAAAGTAGCAGCCATTGCCTTTGCAGCAAAGAGCCTTCTGCTGCTCCCCAGAACTCATAGCATGTGTCCTGCAAGCCACACTCACCTGCTAAAACTGTAGAAATAGCTGAGGGAATTAAGGAAAATCCCAAAGTAGGCCAGAGCTTAATTCCCTCTGCTAATCCCTGAGAGGGGCTGCTGTGCCCCCCTCACAGCATCCCCTGCACCCATGCTCGGGGTCTGGAGCCCAGCCCACGCGTGTGATGGACCCGAAAGTGCCAGTGTGAACACGTGCAGTGCTTGTCTTGAGAGATCTTTATCACCAGATATGATGCTGAGGCCACAGAAACCCTCAATTTATGGCAATTTCCTAGAGAGTTTGTGCAAGGGGGGACAGGGGCTGCAAACCCTCGTGTAGGGGCTGCGGGGATGCTGGGGATGTTGTGTCCATAGCAGCTGTACCCAGAGGGGAAGGGAACTTTCCTCCTTGCTGTTCTCCCCCAGCCTTCAGTGACAGGACAGGTTGGTGGTGGGTTGAGCTGCACCGTTGAATGATGAAGCTCAATTCTGGATAACTTTCCACCTGCCTCAAGGCCTGGGAGAGCTCATTTCTATCCCCAAATATGCTCAGGTTTGCCCCAGCCTACCCAGGCCAGCAGCAGCATTTTTGTCCATTCAGTGCAGAAGGAATCCGAGGTCTTGCAGGTCTGATTAATAACGTGTTGAAGCCACAGTGGCTGAGCACTCTCCAAACCCCTCCTGAGCTGTGCTCTGCTCCTCACCCGGGTGTGTTGCTGCATGAAGGGTCTTGAACAAGGGTGGGAGAAGCAGCGGCGTTCACAGGGTTTGCACCTGCAGAAAGGAAGCAGTCCCAGAACTGGGTGGGATTGTGCTGGCACATGGGCAGTGTCCCAGTGGGAGCTGGGGCTGAACTCCAGCCTCGCTCCAGCCAGTTGCTGTAAACATATTGGGGTTTCCAGTGTGATGGTGCAGCTGTGGGAGCCGTTGGGCTCCTTGCAGGGGCACTTCTCCGCAGGCGTGTGTGTGCAGACACTGTGAGTGTGGGGGTGTGTGTGCACAGGAAGGAAGGGCAGCTTGCGGTGGAGTGCTGTGCGCCGAGCGAGGTCGGGTAGTTTTGTTCCCAGCGCAGGCACACGCCAGCCCTGCTCTTGGAAAAGGATTTATCCTCTCGGTGCCATTGCATCCTCCCTGGCTGAGCAGAGGGAGCTGCTCCCTGTCTCTGTGGATCCAGGCTGGGATGTGGGGTGTGTGCCTTCAGTGTGGCTGTGCGTGGCTGGAGCAGGAGGTGGGAGCCACCGAGCACTGTCCTGGTGCTTTTCAGCACCTCTGTTCACAGGTGATGGGGATCATGACAGTGGCTCCCCACTGTCATTTTTTCCCCCTCCAGTCTCTGTTTCAGAGCCTGGGAGTGTTTCCCACCTCTGCTCTGTCCAGTCACCCCACTGTCGGCCAGGCTGGGGCTTTCCTCCCGGTTTGTCCAGTGACAGCTCTGCAAGCGGAGGAGCTGTGGGTCACGGTGTGCCAAGGTGGACAGAGGGGCTTGGGGTTCCCATCATGGAACCCCATGGTTTTGCACGTGCAAACCTCCCAGGGCTTTTTAGGGATGCTGTGAGAGGTGCGAGGGATGGGGACGAGGGCCCACATTGGAAACAGGGAACAGGATGCGATTCCCGAAGTTTCAGTCCATCCTGATGGATTTGTTAGCCATCCCGAAGGATGTCCTGGGTGTTCCCAACCCTTTCCAGTCCTGTGCAGACCCCAGGGCTGCACCAACCCCAAAAGGTGCAGCTGTAGCAACAGTGCTCAGGGCTGCAGCCCTGGTGTGTGAGCACAGGGCGGAGTCCTGCTGATCCCATCAGTCTGGAGGGTGGAAAAGAGAAAGAAAATCTGGTTGAGCAAGAACCATCTCCAACTGCAGCAGTCCAGCGTGGCCTCCGGCTCCTCTCCTGCTGGGAGGAAATTTCCAGCCCTGCACAGAGGAGTAGGGATGCTGTACCCTCTCCTCCAGGCCTTCTCTTCAACCCTTGGCCAGCTGCATCCACAGATCCTGGTGCAATGGGGCAGCGTCAGTCTGGGATGCTCATTTAGTCATCTCCTACTTCTGGGAGGTAGAGGCAAGGAGAGCACTGCCTGTCTGGCATCACAAGCTGGAGATGCTGGTGATGCTCGTGGACAGCCTTGCTTTGAGCTTTCCAGCACGTGGGAAATTTGGGAGCTTCCGAACACCCTTTGTTTTGTGGAATTTGAACAAAAACGGGCTGTTGGTGGGACTCGTGGAGTGTTTCTGCAGATGGTGCATCTCCAGATCTCCATTGTCTGCTCCCATTCCAGACAGAACTTTTTCTTAGTTTCTTATAAATCTTTTCTATTTTCATGTTTCCATCTTTCTGTGCCCCCTGGCAGACAGCCGCTGCTGCCAGGCTGGGCCATGGTTGTACCAAACACGTGGCTCGGGGTGGCTTATCAGCTTTTCTAGATCAGAGCAAGTCCTGTTTTCTCTGAGAGGTTTGAAACAGCTCTTTTAAAAAAAAAGTTCCTGATGTGCGAAGAAAAGTAACTAATGTGAAAAAATACTTAATTTTTGCCTGTTTCTAAATGGTTCTGTAAGGTTTTCATTTGGGAACGATGGCCCGTTCTCTGCCAAACCCAAACTCTGCCTCAGTGCTGTGGCTGCAGGGAGGTCACAGGGCATAGTGGGTATGGGGGTGGCACCACAGAGGTGTGCTGGGGCAGGGCTGGAGGTTGTTCACCTTCTCACCATCCCTCGTGCTTGGCCAGGTGCTGTCTCACAACCTGTACACGGTGCTGTGCATCCCCCACGATCCCGTGGCCCTGGAAGAGCATTTCCGTGATGACGATGATGGGCCAGTGTCCAGCCAGGGCTACATGCCATACCTGAACAAGTACATCCTGGATAAGGTGAGCCCCTTGGCCTCGGAAGGGGGGACACAGTGGTGCCTGGGCTGCTCCTGCATCACACGGGAGCCCAATG